TTCTTCTTCTCTTCTTCTTCTTCTTCTTCTTCTCTTCTTCTTCTTCTTCTCTTCTTCTTCTTCTTCTTCTTCTTCTATTTTTTCTTTTCCTTCTCCTCTTCCTCCTACTTCTCCTCCTCCTTGGTCTTCTTCTCATTCTTCTTGTTCTTCTTTTTTCTTCTTGTTCTCCTCCTCCTTCTTGTTCTTGTTCTTTTTCTTCTTCTTCTCCTCCTCCTCCCCCTCCTCTTTTCCTCCTCCACCTCTCCCTCCTCCTTTTTTTCTCCTCCTTCTCCTCCTCTTCCTCCTCCTCCTTCTATTTCTTCTTCTTCTATTTCTCCTCCTCCTCCTCCTCCTTGTTCTTCTTGTTCTTGTTCTCCTCCTCCTGTTCCTTCTCATTCTTGTTCTCCTTTCTTGTTCTTCTTCTTCTTCTCCTCCTCCTCCTCCTCTTCCTCCTTGTTGTTCTTCTTCTTTCTTCTTCTCATTCTCCTCCTCCTTCTCCTCTTCCTTGATCTCTCCCTCTTCCTGCTACAAGTTCCTAATTTCTGCTTTCTTTTTTTTATCTCTCATTACTACCCATTCTAACACACACAAATGTGTTTTTTCTATGGTCTACATATAAAGGAAAGAACACATATGGATTAAGAAAGAGTAAAGTAGAACAAGATAAGTAGGAATGCATACAAAAGGTTCAATTATTCATGACTCCCAATATTCTCTGTCCTTTAATAGTCCCCCTTCCTATTTTTGCTAGGATTCTTCCTAGGCTTGGAGAATCAAATTCACTTTTAGAAACCAGAGTATTTCTACCTCACATACAGGTCACCCCTAAAGTCCACAAATCAAATACCTTTTTCCTCTGAGACCCACAACAGAATTTTTCTCCATCAATTTCTCCATATCCAATTTTCTCTCAGAGTATCCCATGTTTTTCCTCCCCTCAAGGGAATTACACATTGCAGATTCATTTCAATTGAGAATTAGATGGAGATATCCAGTTGAGCAGCCTTATAAAGTATGGCTTGAATGGAGAAGATTTGATCCAGGTAGAAGGGCTAGAAGGACAATGGGTGGTCCTGAACCCTAGGGCTCATAGCTTCAAATTCCTTGCAGAGAGTCCTTTCTGGACTGAAGTGAGAAAACATGAAAATAAAAGATATTGTCTTGGAGCCACACAGAAAATCCTTCAAAAATCAAGCATAAAAGAGAATCGTGAGTACATTCCCCCCCATCCTTTTCCAAACCATCTCCTCCATCTTATTGTGTAGTAGTTAGAGCCCTGGAAGTAAAACGTAGAAGACATGGGATGCACCTAACAGTACAACAATACACATAGTAGAAATTTGAGGAATTATCATTATTCATTTAGTCAGATGATGGAAGTTCTACTCCGATGGCTCAGTATGACATGGAACTCACTGTAGATTCTTTAAGGCAGTGTTCCCCCTCCAAATTTTTTTTTTTTAGGGTAAGGATGGCCCTTTGTTTTGGTTTTGTGAACATCCACATTCCACACATTACAGTTGTGCTATTAGCAGTCCTTTAGTGGAAAATTAAACATTCAGATACTCAAATGCATCTATAGTCTTCTCCATGTGGATTTCACCTCCAATGATGCAGACCATACTTCTCCCATCATTGCCATCCTGAGTAATTTTTATCTGTGTCTTCCCATAAATTTGCCACAGGAGATCTGCCCCATATGCTGTGGTCCTTCTTGATTTCATTTTTAAATGAGTGTTTGATTTGTTAATTAACATAAATATGTTTTCAGAGGATTGAAAAGTTTTGACCTCAGGGTGAAATATGACATCTGTTTCCTTGCCTTTCTCTCCTTTTTTAAGTTAGAGTTTTATTTTTCTAATGAAAAGAAATACATTTCTCTATCTCCCATCCCTTGGGAAGGTAGAAAAAAAAGAAAGAAACAAATTCTTTGTAGCAAATACACATAGTCAAGCAAAACAAATTCTCTTATCATATTTGATAGTCTCTTCTGCACACTGAATCCATCCCCTATCTGTCAGGATGTAGGTAGCATGCTTCATCATCAGTCCTGTGGAGTCTTAGATTGTCATGGCATTGATTATAGTTCTTACAGCTTTCAAAGTTGTTTGTCTGCACTGTGTTGTTATAGTTTAAACTATTCTTTTAGTTCTGCTCATTTCATTCTTTTCCAGCTTTTAAAATCTTCATTTTAAAGTGTTCATTCAAAAGTGTTCATTTTTATAAAATTTGTGTTACAGTAGAAATTGTTCTTGTGGTTTTGCTTACTGTACTTTTCATCAGTTTATACAAGTGTTTGTGTATTTCTGAAATCATCAATTTCCTCATTTCTGTCAGCCCAATAATATTCCATCACATTCATATGTAACAACTTGTTCAGCCTCTCCCCAATTAAAGGGTATCCCTTGAGTTCCCACCTTTTTGCCACTACAAAAAGAGCTGTTCTAAGTATTTTTGCACAAATTGGACCCTTTTCCTCATTCTTTGTTCTCCATAGGTGTAGGGCCAGAGGTGTCATAGTTGTGTCAAAGATCATGCTCTCTTTAGTAACCTTTTGGTACAGAATTCCAAATTGCTTTCTGGAATGGTTGTACTCATCTACAGGTATATCAACCATTTCGCCACAGCCCCTCCAGCATTTGCCATTTTCTGTTTCATGTTTGCCAATCTGATGGGTGTGAGGTAGAATCTCAGAATTGCTATGATTTGCCTTTGTCATTATTAAGTTTTTGAACATTTTCTTTATGTGGCTGTAGGTAGACTGACTTTCTTCCCTTGAGAACTTCCCTTTCTTCCCTTCCCTTAGATTGTTTATTAATTGGAAACTGGCTTTTATTGTATACATTTGAATCAATTGCTTTTGTATCTTGGAAATGAGGTCTCTAAGAGAGACTGGTAGCGAACAATTTCAATCTTTGCTTACCTTGACATCCAGGGGATACAAAATGGAGCACTGTGACCAACCATCTATTATTTCTCCCACTTACCATGTACCAGACCATTGTCTTTCCCATTCATATATTTCCCTGATGTCACTCTTTATCCTCATTGTTTTTTGAAGCATGACATCAAAATTCTCCCATGAGATCATCAGTGCTTGTGAATGGATTTTTTCTTTCTTGACATCTATGTGAAAAATCATTCATGTTTGTGAGATGTTGCTGTTGAACCTGTAGAAAATATCTGTAGTGGAAAGTGTTAGGGTGAATGTCTCACGGTCTCATGAGAGCTCTGTTGAGGGAACTTTCCCATGGGAGTTCTAGCTTCTATCAGTAGAAGCTGAGGGTCACAACATAGTTGCGTGGCAAAAATCAGGAAGTCTCCCAGGACCTCTCCTTTTCTGACATGCAGCTCCCACTGTTGGTTCGGCTCTCCTCTCACTGGGAGATGAGTCCTGACACGAGCTCCAGCAGACCTGATGATTGGCTATCACAGGGGGATCACTCTTTGAACATGCATCACCAGGGCCATAAAAGACAGCTAACTGCACTCAATAAACGGAGCTTCTGCCACCTTGCTGTCTCCCGCCTCATCCATGCGTCTCGGGGTTACAGAGCATTGAGCTGGTCTCATGCTCATCACTGCAGCGGCTGCATCAAGAAAGAATATAGCATCGAATTCCAGATCCATTGTTCAATTTCTCTAGTCCTTAGGTTCCTCATCTATAAAATGTTGGTCTAAAGTCCCTTCCTGTTTTACATACCTCTTCAATTTAGTCCAATCCTCTCATCTTACAGCCAAGGAAATCAAGTCCCAGAGATGTTAAGGGACTTGCTTAAACTTATAAGGGGAGTAAAGACCAGATCCAAGATTTCTCATGAACTCCCAGTTGAGCTCTTCCCTCTACCTCATGTGGCCTCATGGTATTATGACCCAAGTCATTGTAGCAAACCATGGAATAGAATAAATGTTATGGAAAAGGTTTCTTGATGCCTTTGGCCCACAGGAGGGGAAATGGTGATATAATACGATAGCAAAGAAGCTCAAGTTCTGACTTGTCCTACCAAGCAGGAGCACAGACCTGAGGACATACTTTGGGTCTGTTGGGAATGTCCTAGCCTAGATAAGCTCTGATAGAATAATTATTGGGTTACTGTGAGGAGTTCTTTGGGTCCCAGAATATTTTGAAGATAATATTGTGTCTAAAATTCAATGGAGAGTCTAAGATTATGGCTGCTAGATTGAGCACCGAGGTGGTGCCATGGGTAGACCATTGGGCCTAGAGTCAGGAAGAGTTTGCATCTATTCTCAGAGACTTAGAAGCCACGTGACTCAGGGCAAATCATTTGACGTTTGTTTGCCTTATTTTCCTCACATATTAATGGACATAATAATAGAACCTACCTTTCAGGGTTGCTGTGAGGCTCAGTGAGATAATATTTGTAAAGTGCTTAGCATTGCATCTGACACATAGAAAGTGCGATATAAATGTTAGCTATCATCATTATTAATATTATTATTAAATAACCTCAATTATGTAATTGGAGTGTAGAATTATTAAAGAAGATTGTGGTCTGAACTTCTCATAACATTAGCTGCTTATCCCCGTTTGCAGCTGGTTTACATGTCTCCTGTTTGTATAGAAACAGAGAACCATGGAATTTCCAAGCTGACAAGAATGTTATTTGTATGTGAAAAAGCCTGTTTTCTAAAATATGCCCAATACACATTCCTTTACCAACCCTGAGGTGATGAAACATATTAGGTATAGAATGAGACACATATGAGTATATGTGAATGTAAATGTATGTGTGTATATATGTATGTATGAGTGTGTGTATGTATATGTATGTATATATGTACACATACATACTTATATACATATGTATATATATATTTACCTATCTATCTATCTATCTACAGCCACTGAGGGAATTTGTTTTGCCTGACTATCCACATTTGCTACAAAAATGTGTTTTTCTTTCTTTTCTTTTCCAATAGAATATATTGGGTAGAGATATTAAATAGATTTTTGTTAATTTAAAAAAGGGAGGTAGAGGTGCTACAGATATGAAGACAAGGTCACTGTAGTATTAGTTTTACTGAAGTGTTTTGTTTGTTTATAACAGACCTCTCACAGAGTGGGGATGATCTCTAAATGTTTATAATGTAAAAAATACAGCATATCAACAAAACATTAAACTATATATGCATGTAAAAATAAATAAACACAAGTTAAACTTTCAAAAACAATAATATTGTAACATCTGTATAAGAAGATAACTTTGTAGTTCTTAAGACATCAAAGAAGCAAAGTTGCTGCTTATTATCCCAGTTATATAATATGATAAAAAACCATCTTGATATGTTTACGCACTTTGCTTTATTATTGTGATGTGGAAATGTTGGAAAACATAATGCTAATGTCACAAACAAAATAAGCCTGATGAGTGGTCATCCCGTCTCTGCCTGAGGACCTCTACTAAGGGGGAACTCCCTCCCTCCCCAGGCATTCCATTCCAGGTTTTAATAGCTCATCTTCATGAACAACCAAAATGACAATATAACATCATAACTTACAGTGTAATGTAACGTAACGTAATGTAATGTAATGTAACATAACGTCATAACCAAGAAAAACATAGACCAAAGTGGGTTCCTGCTGTGCATAGAACAGGGCATTAGACACCAGGGGGTGGCATACACAGATGCAACTGATACTGCTGGAGAAGGGTAAAAGTTGAGGGTTGGTCAATAAGGAGTAAGGGAGGGAGGGAGGATGAAGGGACCAATGCATCCTAATTCACTTGGGGCATAATAGCTTGCTTCTCTCTTGTCTTCTGCCTTCAGTACCACCCGAGGTGTACGTGTCCCATCGAGATTTCCCCAATGGCACTATCAGCTTCTCCTGCACAGCCACAGGTTTCTACCCACAATCCACTCTGCTGCACTGGAACAAGGATATTGATGGTGCTATATGGGGGAACGAGAGCTCTAGTGTCACCCTGTCTAATTCTGATGACACCTTCTATCTCCGAATCTCCCTGGAGATCCCGCCAGGAGACACAGGGACAGGTTATGCTTGTGTGGTAGATCACAGTCAGCTGGAGACCCCAGCCATGTACCCTGGTGAGTGTCTCAGCCACGCTGCTTGGGCCCATCCTCTGAAGTTCAAGTCATGGGATTCTGTTAATTCCCGCCTACATCTATCCCTGCCTGGTAAAGAATTCAAGGGCAAAGTTCCCATTGGACATTTTCTCCATTGCACTGTGGAGAAATCTAATGCCCTCCATCCCCTTAATTTGCTGGCTCTTCTCCTCCTGAAGTCCCTGAGAAGCCCCCCCCAGTGGAATTTGTGGCCTGTTGCCCTGAGCATCCTTCTAGCAGCCATCCTGGTGATTAGCTGTTTTGTGGTCTTCACCAAATGGAAGAGGAGAAAGTCAGGTGTGTATTGTCAGGTGAGAGGGAAAGGGATGGGAAGAGGAGAACACAAAAGAATAAAGCTATATGTTGTTCTGGGGTTGATGTTAATAATTGTGTACTTTGTGAAAAGAATCCCAGAAACACAGAATCTCAGAGAAGGAAGGCACCTCAAACGCCACCTAATCCAAATCTTATAAGAACATATTTTCTCTGTCCAACATTACTAAGAAATGATCATATATTCTTGGACTGAAGACTTCAATTGATATGGAAGTCACAACCTTAAATATTTTTTATTGATATATTTGTTGGGAAGGAAGCATGGCTTAGTGGATGGAGAAGGCCTGGGGTCAAGTCCAACTTCTGATACAAACTGGTTGTTTTTTCCTGGGCAAATAACTTAACCTCTCCATAACCTAGGCTCTGTAGTACTCCAAGTTTCAGAGAAGATGCTAACTTCCATGGGTAGAGAGAGTTTTCTTACCTGTGTTTAGCAGAGTGGCTGACATATAACATTCCTTTATTTATTTAATTTTTTGGCTAGGTAATGGGGTTAAGTGACTTGCCCAGGGTCACACAGCTAGTAAGCATTATATATCTGAGGCTGAATTTGAACTCAGGTCCTCCTGAATCCAGGGCCTGTGCTCTATCAACTGTGCCACCTAGCTGCCCTATAACATTCCTTTAATAAAAGAACTTTGTAGACAAACTGACTTGGGCATTTCTTCACCAGTCAAATCACAAACACAGTCCCTATATTTATATTTTGGTTGTACATCAACCACTTTTCCCACTTTATTCATCCTCTACATTTTCCTAGAAATCTATCCCTTTTAATAAGGAATTAAAAAGGATTGGTTATAGGGGCAGTGGTTCAGCAAAACTAATCAACACATTGGTTACAAAGAATGACCAAAGTTGTACAGTTTTTGAACTTTTGGACACTTCAGATAAATACTTTTTTCGTATATGGAGGCAGAATTTTTCTCTATTTGCCTTCCAGTCATCACTCCAACTTTCTTTCTCTGGGATCAAGTAGAATGACTTTAATTTATCTTTTGCATAGAAGAAATTCAGAAACTTAGATGGTGAGTATAGCCCAGTTTCCTTCCAAGTATGCTTATATGAACTAGCTTCTAGTTGTCTCATCATTCTGGTCACTTAGCTCTGGAAATTCTTCACTTTCTTTTCCTTCCTAAAACATAGGAAATATATGTTCTCTAGGCCCAGAGAACGCAGCAGTCCAGCTTTCTAGGACAGAGTTCAACAGGGCTGTTGCGCCCTCATTCAGCATACTGTATCTCTATTCCTACATACTAACATCACTTTAGATTTCTTGCTGTCATGTCACATTGTGGAGTTTAATCTCCACCAGAATCCTCAGATTGTTTTTACACAAACTGATGTCTAGCTAGTCCCAAGGCAACCACAGGTGTTTACATTTGTCTTTTTAAAATTTACTTAACTGACTTTTACCCATTGCTTTTTTTTCCTTTTGCCCGCTTTATGGATCCCAAGTATTCTTTGGAGTATGTTAATTATCCCTCCCAATTTTCTTTCATCTTTCAGATTTGAGAAATAGTCTATCTGTGATTTTATAAAAATCATTGATTGAAATATTGAGCAGAGAGGAGTTCTGGATAGATCCCCATGCCATACCCTGCAGCTATACCCCACTACATCTTGTCACTGATCCACTGATCATCAGACTTTGGGTCCAGGTTTTCTACCAGTTCTAAACTTAGCCATTCATAAAAGCCATAGCTCTATGTCTTGCCTAGAAAGAGACCATGGAGGTCTTTGTCAAGTGTATTGTGAAATCTCGGTCTATGACATTTCCCTAACTGACAATGATCCTGTCATTAAATTGAAATAAAGTTCATCTGGAAGGATCTCTTTTCCTTGAACCCATGCTAATGTCTCAGTGATCTCTTGCAGTGCTGCCAGTTATCTTGGGATCTGAAAAGCAAATTCCTCTGGACAAGGTGATGTCCATTTAGTCAGGACAGCTACACCCTCTGTTTACTATCTTAGGTTTCATCTCTCCATAATTCATGCTTATTCTCATCAAAAGTTATTATTGGAAAAAAGGGAAACAAGGAAGTGCTGAGCAACAATACCTTCTCTCTGTCATTAGTTAACATCCCATGTACCCCAACCCTTGGCCATATTCATTTTTTGTTCCTCATTCCCCCCCACCCAATAGTCGTAAAATGTCACCCTTATTTTTGTGCTTAGCATAGGTCACATGTTTCAATTTATTATGGACTTCCATGTTCTTGTCATTTTTTAAAAATACACTTTTGGGGATAAATTTTGATGTCCAATCCCACACATTTTCTCCTGAATCTGGCCCTACTCCAAGATAGCTATTCCTATTAACAAATATCAAGCAAAGCTAGATCAAATACAAACAACATATATCAAAAAAAACCTTTTGTCGTATGGAGTGTTTCACCCTGAGAGTTCTCCCAGTTCTAGAAAGCAAGGTGTAACTTCTCATATCTCTTCTTTATTGTCAAGGACACAATATTATTTTGTAGCCTCCATTTTCAATGGTTTTATATTTGTTCTTTCTATTTACATTTTATAGGAATTTTGCATATGATTTTCCTGCTTCTGCTTACTTCACATTTCATCAGTTTATATGTCTTCCTATGTTCTTCTGTATGCATCATATTCATTAGTCTTGTAGCTCAATAATATTCCATAATATTTATATATCACATATTGTCCAGCCATCCTCCAAAAGATTAATATCTACTTTGTTTCTAGTTCTTTGATACGACAAAAAGTGTTGCTATAAATATTCCCATTCTTTGATACTACAAAGTGTTACTATAACTATTTTTTGTCTATCTGAGGTCTTTTTTTTTCAAATAAATAATAATAGCTAATATTCATATGGTACCTAGAATGTTTCAGGCACTATACTAAGTGGTTTACAATTTTTTTTTCATTTTATCTTCACAACAATCCTGAGAGGTAGGTGTCATTATTGCCCTTGTTTTGTAGATGAGAAAACTGAGGCAAATAGAAGCTAAGTGACTTGCCTAGGGTCCCACAGCTACTAATTCTCTGAAGCCATATTGAACTCAGGTCTTCCTGATTCTAGGCCCAGCACTCAGTGCCCTATGGTGCCACCTAGCGGCCCTTTCTGTCATTGATCTTTGTGGTGTATACCTAGCAGTGGACTCTCTGTGGCAAAGGTTATGGACATTTTAGTCAGTTTCTTCCTATAATTCTAAACTGCTTTGAAGAATGTTTGGAACAATTTGGAGCTTCACCAGCCACATATTGATGTGCCCATCTTTCCACTACCTCTCCAAATATGAACATTATCCTTTTTTTTTTTTTTGTAAATTGGTGAAGAAAAAGTGAAGCCTTAGAGTTATTTTGATTTGTATTTCTCTATTCGTGATTTGGAACATTCTGTCATATAGCTGTTAATATATGGCTTCTTCTTTTAAGAACTGCTTGTTCATATCCTTTGACCATATATCTTTTGGGGAATGGCTTTTGTATATTTGTATGCATCTTAAATATCTGACCCTTGTAGGAAATATTTGGTCTAAGGATATTTTCCAGGCAACCACTTCCCTTCATCTGGTGAATTTTCTGAAAATCCACATTTGTCTATTTAAACACCTGTGCTGCAACACCTGTCCCATCTTCCATTTTTTAGATATGTTTCTTGATAGGAATGGATTATGGCATTTTGTTTCCTTATCAAATCTGTCAGTCTGTGTTTTGAAGCATTCCCATAAGAACAGATTGAATCTGATGAGATGTCATAAAATATGATGCTGATTGTTGTAAACACAACACTTATTTAATCCCACCCCCTTAGGCTTTCACAGCTAGAAAAACAGTTTAGGCCTAGGCTACAGGTGGGAAAAATAGTGAGATAAGGTACCCAGAGAATGGTCACTTGTCTAAGAGAGTAGAGAATGTGATGTCCTTGGAGAGCATTACTTGGATAATACTCTTTGTTTAATACTGTTTCCTGGATTTCACCTCTAAAAAATTTAGATATCATTTTAATAAGCAAGAAGCTGAACTACTTGCAAAGAAAACAAGATGAGATTTAATTCCATGTAATTTTAAATATTTGTCTACCTTCAATCTTATGCAGAGCACTGTGCGAACTGCTGGAGGAGCTTCAACATTAGTGGAATACCTAGTGCCTACCAGCATGAATTAATCAGTCATCAGCCATCAATGAGCTGTGACAGATACTGGGAAAATGTGAGGGGGCATGAGGAGGAAGAAAGGAAGGAAAAAGGAAGAAAGGAGGACAGAAGGGAAGATAGAGGAAAAGAAAAAAAGGAGGGATAAAGGGAAGGAAGTAAAGGAAAGAAAGAAGAAAGGAAATTATAAAGGAAGGAAGGAGGGAGGGAAAGAAATAAATGAAAGGAGGAAGAAGTAAGGGAAAGGAGGAAGTGAAGGAAGGAAGGAAGGAAAAATAGGAGGAAGGAAGTAAAGAAGAAAGGAAGGAGAGAAAAAAGAAGGAAGGACAAAGTGAAAGAAAATAAGGAAGGAGGGAGGGAAGGGAGGAAAAGAGAAAGGAAGGAGAAGATGAAGGAAGGAAGGAAGAAAAAAGGAAGAAAGGAAGGATGGAAAGAGTAAAGGAAGAAAGGAAGGAGGGAGGGAAGAAGGAAAGGAAAGAAAATAAAATAGTAAAATAGGAAGGGATGGTGGAAGGAATGAAGGATCTGGATTTTGTGAATTACATGAATTGCAGAAAGTTGAGGTATGTTCAGTAGTCCTACAATGACATCATTATCTCCTGGGAGGGTATTAGAGGTGATGGGATATTATTTTATGGTTTTAAGTATTTAAAATAAGCACTTATGAGTCTTTTTGTGCTCTAAACAATTCTTGTGTGGCAGTGGGAATAAATAGTCTTACACCTGATAACCATATTTTACATTTAGCACTTCTTTTGGAAGTGACTTTTAATATTTAGACATGAGTCAAAACACATATTTATTTAGGTGATTTTCCCTGGAATTTCAGGGTGCAAAGTAATGAG